GGCAACAAGATGAATGTGTTCACAGAATCACATGAGGCATACCATGTGAGGAACAACTGGGAAAGATAGGGGAGCAGCAGCTGATCAGGCCTGACAGACTAGAGCCAAAAGAACACTGTGGGCCTTCTAGGCCATGCTCAGGAGGCTAGGCTTAGAAGGGGGACAGCATTCTTGACCTCTGGCTTTGGGGTCAACTTGGAGTGCTTATTGCCAATGTAACTGCCAGCTCTGCCCTCTGGTGGCCATGTGGCTCCAAGCATGTTTCTGAGGCCCAATTTCCTCATCTGTGAAATGGCTGCTGATGATATGTATAGGACTGTTGTTATGATTAGAAATCATAAACAAAGATATAAAGATTTACCATCATGGAATTATTCTGCTGCTATTTATTGGTCTCTGTCATTTTTCTACAGTAATTAAAACAACAGTATTGTCACAGAAATGGGTAGATGGATCAAATGGACTTTAATAGCCCAGACCCAGCAATTAGCTTGTTTTCTTTTCTAAAAATCATTGACGACTCATTTTCATATTTCCCAAGACTGGTGTTAGTGGTATTAGGTAATCTATTTCCTAGGCTCTTTACTGATAATACAATATTTTTGTTTCCATCTATAATAAAAAAATGGTTGTTAGTAATAGTTTAAAGAACATCAAATTTTGCAGAGTCTTAAAAATTTCCCTCTGTCATGAATGGTTTGGTAACTCTAAAGAACACACTATCATATAAAATAAAAGTTTATCCAAACTACACGAGCCCAGAACTTCAGCTGAGAGGAAGACCCATCTCACAAGTCATCTTAGGTCTTCTGAAACTCCCAGGTGAGGAGAGAGTGTCCATGCTTAGTTGGCTTTCTTCACTGAGAGTTTTAGAGAATAAAAGTATTTCTTCTATGGTAAGTGTTACTCTTGATCCCATCATGAGTCATCCATATGGAGGTTGTATTCAGTAGATACAGAAGTTTTCTACTGCTACTCTTCTAGATACCACCTAAACAGTTCTCATTGGTAAAATGTTACAATAATTTTTAAAAGTTGTTTTAGCTTTATTCAAGGTATAATTTATACACTATAAAATTCATTCATTTTGAAGTATACAGTTGTGTGGGTTTTGGTATATTTACAAAGTTGTACAGCCATCACCACCATCCAATTTTAGACCATTTCCATCACCCCAAAAAGAAGTGCTATGCCCATTTTTACTCAGTCCCTATTCTCACCCTAAATCCTCGTTAACCACCAATAGATTTATAGATTTGCCTATTATGTACATTTCATGTAAATACAATCAAACAATAAACGGTCTTCTATGTGTGACTTCTTTCACAGAGCATATGTTTTTGCTAAGTGTTTTTTAACCTGTTTTACATGTTGTAGCATGTATCAGTGCTTTGTTCCTTTTTATTGCTGAGTGGTATTCCATAGTATGAATGTACCACAGATTGATTGACCATTGATCTGTTGAAAGACATCTTGGTTGTTTCCAGTTTGCGCTATTGTGAATAAAGCCACTGTAAACGTTTGTATAAATGTAAAGTTTTCTCTCTCTGGGATAAATGCCCAGGAGTGCAATTGCTGGGTCTTAGTTGCATGTTTAATGTTTTAAGAAATGACCAAATTATTTTCTAGAACAGTTGTACCATTTTACATTTCCATCAGCAATGTGAGTGATACAGCTTCTCCACATCTTCTCCAGTGTTCAATATTTTCACCATCTTTTATTTTAGCCATTCTAATAAACATGTAGTGATATCTTATTGTGGTTTTAGTTTGCATCGCCCTAATGGCTAATGATGTTGAACATCTTTTCACAGCTTATTTGCCATGTGTGTTCCTTTTTGGTGAAATGTCTGTTGGTTATTAATTAGGTCATTTGTTTCCTTACTATTGAGTTTTCAGAGTTCTTTACACATTCTGAATTTAAATTCATTGTCAGATAAGTGTTTTGTAATAAATATTATGTGTGTGATATGTGTAAATATTTTGTCCCATTCTGTAGCTCTTTTCTTTTCTTTTTTTTTTTTTTTTTTTGCATCTTCTTAACAGGGTCTGTCTTAGAGCAAAAGTTTTTTGTTTTTTAAAAATATATAATTGGAGAGTTTATTTGGGCCAAGTTTGAGGACTGCAGTCTGGGAACGTAGATGTAAGTTACCCTGAATATATACTGCCCAGAGCAAACATTTTTAATTTTGATGAAGTCGCATTTTTCTTTGCCAAACCATACTTTGGGTATCAATTCTAAGAACTCTGCCTAACTCTAGATCTTGAAGATTTTCTCCAGTGCTTTTTGTAACTGTTTTATAGTTTTACATTTTACATTTAAGTCTGTAGTCCATTTTGAGTTAAATTTTGTGTAAGGTGGGAGACTTATGTTGAGGTTTGTTTTCTGTTTTTGCTTATTTCTCTAGTGCCATTTGTTAAAAAGGCTATCTTTCCTTCATTTGATTACTTTTTTACTTTTGTCAAAAATATCCTGGGCATATTTGTCTGGGAGTATATTCACTTTTAATAAGGCAAAAATATATTAGGTTGTGGTAGTCAGAATAATGAGCCTTCAAAGATGTCCATGTCCTAATCCCTAGAACCTGTGGATATGCTAGGTTACATGGCAAAGGGGACTCAAGGCTGCTAATCAGCTGACTTCAAAATAGGGATATTATCTTGGATTATCCAGGTGGGCCCCATGTAATCACAAGTGTCCTTAAAAGTGGAAAAGGGAAGCAGAAGAGAAGGGACAGAGAATGAGACGTGATGACAGAAGCAGGATCAGATCAGAGCGATGCATTATTGCTAGCATTAAAGATGGAGGTAGATGGCCAAGATCCAGGAAATGTGAATATCCTCTAGCAGCTATAATAGGCAAGGAAATGGAGTCTCCCCTAGAGCCTCCAGAAAGAATGCAGCCCTGCTGACATCTTGATTTTTATCTCAGTGAGACTTGTGTCAGACTTCTGACCCTCTAAACTGTAAGGTAATAAATTTATGTGGTTTTAAGCCACTGCATCTCTGGTAATTTGTTATTTCAATTTTAGAAAAGCTCCCAATACTGATAGTTAGGATTTTAAATGTTTGGGCATGCCATTTATCTGGCAAGTTTGTATGTATGGAACACCCTATGATATCAGACAAAAGAAGTGCTGCTCTAGGTAGATTTGTGCATTCAATGGGCAGTAGTTAGAAAATATTACTTTTATTTCTGTTTAAATTTCTACATTCATTGTGACTTTATACATTACTTTTTGATAGGAAGTATTTTGTTGTTGCTGCTATTATTGTTTTTGTTTGCATTTCAGAAGAGTATTTTAATGTCTTAAGTTTTGCACCAAGATGCCAAATGTAGCTGCAACACACATTTATGTAATGGGAGGCTAACATTCTATTTAAAGAAATATTCAATTGACTTTGAAATAGGACAAATAGAAGCTTAGTTAATGATCCTGATACTTGTACTCTTATTAGTTTTACTGGTTTATTATAATCTTATTAGTTTTAAATGACAGCTTTATTGAAATATAATTCATATACCATACAGTTCACCCACTTAAGTATACAATTCAATTATTATATTCACAAATATATACAATCACCAGAGAACACTTTGAATATGTTGTCCCACTGTCTTCTAACTTCCATTGTTTCCAATGAGAAGTTAGCTCTTAATCTTATTTGGGCTCTCTTATGTGATGAGTTGTTTTTTTCCACCTACTGCTTTCAAGATTTTCTTTTTGTCTTTGTCTTTCAGCAACTATGATATATCTGTTTGTGGGTCTCTTTGCATTTATCCTGCATGGAGTTCATTGAGTTTCACAGATATATAAATTAATGTTTTTTGGTAAATTTGGGAAGTTTTTCTAATATTTTTTTTTGCTCCTTTTCTCTCTTCTCCTTGTCATACTCCCATTATGTATATGTTGGTGGACTTAATGGTGTCCCACATTTCTCTGAGGTTCTGTTTATTTTTCTTCATCTTTTTTCTCTCTATTCTTTGGCTTCTGTTGACCTATTTCAAGTTCACTAATTCTTTTTTCTTCCAGTTCAGATCTACTGTCCAGGCCCTTTAGTGAATATTTCATTTCAGTTATTACAGTATTCAACACCAGAATTTCCATTTGTTCTTTTTTATAGTTTCCATTTCTTTATTGATATTCTCTATTTGACAAGATATTGTCATCATACCATTTTTCTTTAGTTGTGGTTTTCTTTACTTCTTTGAACATATTTATATGGCCAATTTGAAGGCTTTGCCTATTAAATCTGACATCTGGCTGCTCTCATAGGCAATTTCTGTCGCTTGCTTTTTTTGCTAGTGTATGAGTTATACTTTCCTGTTTCTTTGCATATCTCATAATTTTTTGTTGAAAACTGGGCATTTTAGATAAGTATATTGTAGCAACTCTGGGTACTATTCCATCCCCCAAGGCTCCTTATTGTTATTTGCTTGTTTACTTCTTTAGTGACTGGCTGGATTGTTTTATTGAAGTCTATTTACTCAACCACCCTTCCCCCATCCTGCAGTATGAAGCCTCTGATGTTTCTCCTCAGGGGCACAACCTTGGATATGCTCACAGTCACCCTGGGATGGCAGTAGTTGTGGCAGGGCTCTCTTTGGCTGTCTCTTTCCCTGACCACACCCAAGTGTTAAGGTCCACTAATTGCTTGCTGATTGTTCTGTTGTTTTTGTTTTTTTTTTTTTTTTTTTGAGACAGTCTCTCACTCTGTTGCCCAGGCTAGAGTGAGTGCCATGGCGTCGGCCTGGCTCACAGCAACCTCAATCTCCGGGGCTCAGCGATCCTCCTGCCTCAGCCTCCCGAGTAGCTGGGACTACAGGCATGCGCCACCATGCCTGGCTAACTTTTTGTATATATATATATTAGTTGGTCAATTAATTTCTTTCTACTTTTGGTGGAGACGGGGTCTCGCTCAGGCTGGTTTCGAACTCCTGACCTTGAGCAATCCGCCCGCCTCGGCCTCCCAAAGTGCTAGGATTACAGGCGTGAGCCACCACGCCCGGCCTGTTCTGTTGTTTTTTATAACATCCTAGAGCACAAATTGCACCACAAGCTGATCCAATCAAATTAGGGTCCTCTAAAAGGATAGTTCCTGAGATCAGGATTTGAGATTTATTTTGACCCCAGGAGACTTCTCCCTCCTCTCTTTCTCTGGTTCTCTCTGGCGTATTAGCCAGCCTGGGCTTCAACTTCTCTATACTCAGTTGCAAGTGAAGACAGTTCCATTGGGGGAAAGAATTGGAGCCCTCTATTCTGTGCCCTGCCTCTCTCCCTGGGAAATCTCTGAGCCACAGTTCTGGTGTAGAGGATGGGGACAGTGGTGAGCTTCTCTCCGTGTGGCAGCCTCAGGTCTCCCTGCTTTGCCTCTACTGGTGTAGAACCCCCACTTACGAGCTGGGGCCAGGGCAGTCAAGGCCTCAGTATTCTTGGTGGTACCAAGCCCACCAAGGTATAGCCTCCATTCCATTGAGTAGGAACTGGGTGGAAGAAGGGAGGACCCCCTACCTGTTAGCCACACTTGTCTGGAACTTCACCTCAGTAGCAGGTAGCTGGGGGCAAGAGTTGCTGATGTCCTCTTCCTCCTAGGAAGAAAGGCTTGCAACTGGGAGCTAAGAGAGAAAGAGTTTTGTGTTCTTGTCTATACCATTCTGGCATGAGATCTGTATTGGGAGGGGAGATGGAGGGAATGGGTCTAGGTCCAAATACCATAGACTCCCACTCTACTTACTATATTTTAGTAGATTTTCTTGAATAAATGCTTCTTCATTTGCTATATACCTTTAGGATTATTTCCAGATACTTTAAATGGTGAGCTGTTTTTAAATTGAAATAATTTTCACTATTTTCACTGGGTATTAGATCTATGGAGCTCCTGACACTATCATGCCAAAAGTGGAACTCTGTAAGCTTTTTAACATACAATTTTGTTGTTATTCATAATTACTCAAAGTGGCTTTGTACTTGGATTTCTACCTCCTCAGTAGATTGTAAGTGGCTTGAAGGCAGTAGCCTTGACCTTTATTCCTTATGGAATTATGATAGCCCCTAGTAGCATTTTTGCATGTTGTGGCACATAAAAGAATGTCAGTCACTATATTACTGTCTTTTCTAGTTTGCATTTTTAGTACTTCCTTTATGACTTAAAGTGTTTAATTGTGTCTTCCTTTTTTCGTACATTCTACTGGCTATTGTGTTCCCAGAGGGTGATGCCTCCTTTTTACCTGTCATTGGCCACACTCAGTGAATAACACTTGAGCTATTAGAAGTTTTAGTCCAAAGTATTATTCACTTTTCACAATATAGGAGCTTTCTATAACATTTCTTGCAGTGTATATATAGTTATCATTTTAGATTAGGGTACTTGTTTGGGATATATGGGGACAGAGGGAATAAGAAAGGGAGAAAGGGCAGGCAGAAAAACAGTGTGGTTGTACTCAAAGGTAGGACATGCCTCACTTGTTCTTTTTTCAGACTAACCATGTCTCATGCCTTTCAACCTTGGTCCTTGATGGTGCTGCCCTAACAATTGATTTTTTTCCTTTCCTGCTCCTTCCTTATTGGAGATCCCTGGATGGTGATGGCCCCGTGGCTGCCTCTCTTTTTTGGGGGAACAGTGGACACGTGGCCACACCTGAGGCTCTGGTCAACATTGTACCGCTCATCCTCTGTAGCTTGGGCTTCCTCCTAAGGCTGTGTAGACTCACCCAATCTTTGATACAATTTGTATTGCAGGATTTCGTTACTCTAGGTCATTTGAGAATATCCTTGAAAGAAATCATTTCATTTGAGTGATTTGTCTGCTGCTACTTCTGGGATCTCTGGGACAGTATTGACTGACTGCCTTCTGGGATGGGTGTATGCTGTTTTATTCAGTGTTGTTCTGTTTCCCAGGATGCTCCAGGATGAAACGCCATAGGCGCCTCAGCAGCAGTGACAGTTCAGATGAGAGTGAGTAGAACCAGCTGGTAGCTGGTAACCTTTGTATCTATACCCCTTGAAGATTTCTTCTTTGACTTGAGGATAAGCCATTTCATGCTTCCTTCGGTGGTTAAAAAATAATGTTTCTGGGAAGGAAAGCTCAGGGTATCATTTTTCTTACTCATTTAAATTTCATTAGAGATAGATAAATTAGGTGGAAGAATTGGTTTTGTGGGGCATATAACATTTTGTTTTTCACCTTTCATTTACCTAAAAACAAAAGCTAAATTTAGTAATGCTTTAACAGATCTTCTCTAGAAAGGAAGAAAAGTATGACAGCATAAATTGTAGGCCCTGATTCTAATTGTAGCTCAAGTACTAGATGTTTGACCATGGGTCAATTATCATTTATAAAAGTCAGTGACCTTATTAACAGTAGCCTTTGGGGAGGTGCTGAAGCATACACAGATTACTTGCTCCACATCTTCAGTTTTTCCAGTTGTTTTTGCAGATATTTTTTCTCCAGGTTGAAGATGAATTGTGTTATTCCAAAACATTATGAGGCGTGATTACACCAAATCGGATCTTCTCAGCCTTAGCATTGTTGAACCTTTTGCACTCTGGGACATCACCTATAAAATGTCATTAAACTCCATTATGAGGCTCTCTTGGGTGCAGTTTGACTGTTTTCTTCAGTGGTATGAGATCTCTGTGGTCTTCTCCATCATATCTTTCATATTCTCTTGGATAACATTTAGTTTTATGACATTTAATTATATTAGTGGGTAATATATCTCAGTATTTTTTTCTAATTATCTTTTGCAGGTCCTTCTACTTCTTTTACTTCTGGCTCAATGTATAGGATCAAGTCAAAAATTCGAAATGAACACAAGAAACCTGCTGAGGTGAGCTTAGATATTCAATTATTAGACTTATGCTATAGTTTGGATGTTTATTGCCCCAAACTTCATGTTGAAATTTGATCTCAATGTTGGAGGTGGGGACCTAAGGATCATGGGGCTGGATCCCTCATGAATAGATTAATGCCCTCTTGGGGGATGGTTAGTGAGTTCTCACTTTATTAGTTCCCAGGAAAGCTGGTTGTTAAAAAGAACCTGGCACATTCCCTCCCCCAGCACACACACCTATCTCTCTCTCTCTCTCTCATATTCTCTCTCTCTCTCTCTCCCCCCCCCTTTCTCTCTCTCATTCCCTCCCTCCCTCTTTCCCTCCCTCCCTTTCTATCTCCTTCTCCCTTTCTCTCCCTTTCTCTCCCTCTCTCCCTCCCTCCCTCTCTCTCTCTCCCCCTTTCTCTCTTCCTTCCCTCCTCCCTCCCTCCCCTCCCTCTCCCTTCTCCCTCTCTCCTCTCTCTCCCTCTCCCTCCCTCCCTCCTCCTCCTCTCTCTCTCTCTCTCTCTCTCTCTCTCTCTCTCTCCTCTCTCTTCATCTCTCTCTCTCTCTCTCTCTCTGCTCCGTCTCTCTCTCCGCCTCTCCTCTCTCACCCGCTCTCGCTCTCTCGCTCTCGCTCTCTCCCTCTCCCCTCACTCTCCCTCTGTTGCCACATGATCTCTTCACACATCAGTGCCTTTTGGCCTTCCACTGTGAGTGGAACAGCCTGAGGTCCTCACCAGAAGCCCATCTTGACCTTCCAACCAGCAGAACCATGAGGTAAATAACCTCTTCTCTTTAAAAATTACCCAGCCTCAAAGTATTTCTTTATAGCAGCACTAACTGGACTAAGACAACTGTAAAAAAAAATAGATAACTGCCTCCTGCCTACATACCAAGAATATCCAGAATCTAAGAAGATGTGGAAGATAAAGTATGTGCCAATGGATAGGCTTGTTTTGTGAATTTGTTTTCCAAAAAAGATCCATTTCATTTCCCTTTAGGAAACAACAATCTTCACACTGTGATTTCATTTTGGTAATGACACTTTTTTTTTTTTTTTTTTTTTTGAGACAGAGTCTCGCTTTCTTGCCTAGCTAGAGTGAGTGCCGTTGCGTCAGCTAGCTCACAGCAACCTAATCTCCTGGGCTTAGCGATCCTGCTGCCTCAGCCTCCCGAGTTGCTGGGACTACAGGCACGAGCACCATGCCGGCTAATTTTTTATATATATATTAGTGCCAATTGATGTCTTTTATTTTTATAGTAGAGACGGGGTCTCGCTCAGGCTGGTTTTGAACTCCTGACCTTGAGCAATCGCCCGCCTCGGCTCCCAGAGGCTAGGATTACAGGGTGAGCACGCCCCGGGCCTTGGTAATGACACTTAAATGACTGGCTTTAGAATATTCTTCCCTTAACCAGGAAGTCAAACAGAGCCTGACATGAGGCATTGTGAAGACCAAGAGATTCTCTGGGTTGTGATTGGAAAGAGCTAAGTTGGCAGTGGGAGATATACAGGAAGAGATAGGGTAAGAGTTGTAGTTGGAAAGAGAAGGACTAGGTTTATCAGATCATCTGAGCTGTGGCTGTGATGTGCCTCACAGCCTTTGATACTGGTGCCCAGGAAGAATGGATCCCTCTTTTGTGATGTTGTTTGTCTTTGCCCCAAGGCAGCAATAGTGCAAACTTGCATGAACGTTGGGCATTTGGTTGTGTAAATCGATGTTAGTGGATGCTAAGATCTTGTTTCGGTGTGGGATGGATTTAAATTGATCTGATGGATTACTATAATGTGTCTTCATCGTTGCTATGAGTAGATGTTTCCAGGTTCCGAGCTGTAGGAATATGACGAAGTAATGTATGTAGGTGTAGTCTGTGCGGCTTGATGTACATGATTATTTTACAATTTAAATTACGACTGGTTTATCAGCAGTATACTGTTATGTTATCTCAATTTCTGTGGGTACATGTAGTTACTGCATTGTCATGGGCAATATGATGATAGGTCTCGTAGTCTTTATTGAGGCCTGTATATTCAACTGTATGACTCAGGTGAGTGTCTGGTTACGGCTGCGTGGAGGTCAACTAAGAGAATGTTTGCATGTTGCACTGATGATGTGATTTGAGGTGTATGAGTAATTCATTCTCCGTGAGCTAAAGGACTGATCAGTTCGTGTGTATTTGCTGCGTGCTTTTGTACAAGAAGAAGCCAATGCATTATAGATTCCGTTGCCACAAGAGCTTTCTATAGGTCTTAGTTCAATCATCATAGTATAGTTACTTTTTATAAGCAATTGTGAGGGAAGTATTTCTTGCAGCCTGCTGTAATTGGAGTCCTGTATATAATACATAAGTAATAACTCAGCTCATTATTATGCGCATGTAGTTGTAATGATAATGCTTAGAGTGACATTGTCGATCATTGTTTGACTAGGATATTTATTGTTCTGAAAGCTATTTTCTACATGTCTGCTGGTGTAGATTTAAATGATTGTGTGTGGTGTACGTAGAGTCAGTTTTTGTGCATTAAGTCACCTTTTCTTTGTGATTTTGATGTTTGCTGACTAGTAGAATATCATATGTGTGTTTTAGTGTTTATGCATACAGATAAGGTAGCGGGATGGAGAATTATTAATATACATATGTATAAATAGAATGATAAAATTTTCTCTCCTATCCAAAGGTGGTTGTAGTGATTAATGAAATGGGTGAGAATGTAAGACCTATCCGGTGCTATCTGATGCTATATCCTACCCTTAGGAGTATAAGACAACTTGTCTATAAGAAGATGTTATAATGAATTTGTAGGTTTTGTTTGAGGAGTTGCTTTATTACCTCATGAATCTTCCAATTTTTGGTTCAGTGGGGGGTTATAGTAGTCTTTTAATTTGTTACAAGGAGATTAGTTGAGACCTGGGTCTACTGGAAGCAACACTTTTTTTATTTGCAGATGTGAAATATTATCATCAATTCTGTTTATTAAGTTATATATACGTCCATCAGCTGTTAGCTCATCTAGGGTATCGTGATCTTGCCCTAGACAGAGCTATTTCTCGGTTTGAATTTAGAATTGACGATTGCATCATTCATATTTCTTCCTTTGCCTGGTGCCTACTGTGTTGTCCTGATCATAGTTTGTATGTTGATTGACGCTAAACAGAATGGACATTGGTAACTCCAGTACGTTGTCACCCTTCTCTAGCCATGACATTTATTGGATCCGGCAGTTGTTAACTATGTCATTGCCAAGCTTTACATTAGATGTGTAATTAAGTTTTTTCCAAACTGATCAGCAGTTCACATGACTATACCTTGGAGTTTATCAAAAACTACTGCTTGGCAGATTCACCGCTTTACCGTATGACATTATGAGGTGGGTAATGTTAAGTATTTCAAGGAATCTATACTAGGGCTCTGGTTTGTTAAAGAGGTGACTCAGGTGATTTGTTATTATCAAGCATGTCAGTTGGATAGATACTACTTTTTGA